GAAAACTATCTAACATGGTTGCGAAAAGGCAATAGTAGTGCAATAAGGAGTGTGATAATTGAACATCTGGTTAACACTGATCATTCCATTTCAACAAACTACTCCTTCAAAGTAATCTACAGAGTCAGTAACAGCCTATCAAAGGCAATACGGTTTCGCCTTCATTTTGTCGTTGAAGCTCTGGCCATTCACGCAGAAAAGCCAGAGCTGTGCATAAAAAGGAGAATTACTCAACCCTTCCTACTGTCATGGTAACAACTTTGTTGATTTTCGGTGACTTAATTTGGTTTGTTTGCCTGTTCTTTAATTGCTTATAATGCTTCCATTTATTTAGAACTCGTACGTAATTTCGTATTCCCTACTTTGTTCCTATGTGCATCCTGAGTAAAACTCACTCACCAAATCATTCATATCATTGCATAAGTTCTTTTTAACGACTGTTTGTGACAACCCGATTTCCAAATTTTTTGTGGTACCATCAAAAATATTCTGAGTGGTATTTGAGATGTTTCATTACACTGTTTTCAGAAAGGCCATCGATGTTGCCCTGATCTGGGCTGTGATCTGTCATATCGTGCGCGTAAGCTGGACAGTTTAACCTTAACTTTTCCATACTGCTTGCTAACGCTGAAGGAACTGATAATGCTAGTGTGTCAGCTGTAGACGAATCCCGAACTGGTAACTCAACACGATTGGTGGGTGACGACATGATTAGTATATAGACATAAAAATCACAGATGTAGATATGAAATATACAGCCAAAGGAAACATGATAACAATATAAATGTACAGTTTGTAAAGCTAAATTGTTCAGTCGGGCTCACCGATTGATTTGTAGGGGACTTTATAGCAAGCACGGCAACGGAACAAATATTAGAATAAAAATCCAAGTTAACGCAAAAAATACAGTGAATGAGTTATATAAGTTAACGATTACTTGGTGATACAGTTAAAGTTCGCTGTAACAATATATTAATACAATCCACCTCTGGAGTCGCGTCTACTAGTAGAAGCTGTGTACCATTTGTAGAATAGTCTTCGGATGAGAGGTTCCTGTGAAGTCCGAAGGAAACAACATGGTTAATAGCGAAGCAGGTGGACAGTGTGGACCAGTGAGAAGACGTGGAGTCGAGCAGCACGCTGTATTTTAGATTGCTCTCCAGAGTTGTGAGTATTTTACAATGGGTCGTTTCGAGGAAAAGTTACGTAGAATGTTCCCAATTTTAACCTCTAAAAAGTGTACAGTCACACTGTTCCAGACTCTACAGCTCGTCTATTGTATCCGAGTTCCTGACTCACTTTTCGCTACTGAGAAGCCGTAGAATACCTACCGTTTTACATGTACTGACGAACTTTCTTAGTTCTAAGAGTCTGTTCTGACACTTTATTTATCCTAATTGGTTTAATATTCTTCAGTATTATAATTTTTATTTATCCTTATCCGTACCAGTCTCACCTCTCTCGTTTTTCATTTATGCTGTGCATTTGTTTAAGATTCCCCTGTTTTCTATCCTTGTGCCCTAACTCTATTCGGTTTGGTGTACTCCGGATTTCCACTCAACTCGCTGATCAACCATATGTTCGCTGCTGGTTACCCTAAACGAAGGGCTGCATGGCGTAGTGACATTCGCGAGTTCATCAGCACCAATTCATTTTACGAACATATATATGTACGCGTATACCTCAGCATATATAGATTATTGGCCTCCATGTTGGTGTTCAGCAGAGCCACAGCAGTCAGTGCAGTAGGTTGAACTGGAGCCTGTAAAAGACCGGCAGCCTGTAAACGGCCGTGATTCATTTGATCAACTAATGCCTACAGACTATATTTATTGGGGAAACCTCGAAATTTAGTAGGTATTTGTTAAGTTACACACTTTTATGCTTGTATTCTTGCCAAAAGCCGATCAAATGAAGCGGTTTTAGCATAAATAGCAAATGATGGTGTCCTAAGCTGGCCATAATTTACGGCCAGCTAACTAATAATTGAAATACCTACCTTTTGTTACCAGTTTGACCAGGGATTGATACCAGCTAGGGAACCACTGGAAATCAAGGATTACTAGACAGCTGTTTCATCCTAGTTCGGGGATCATCGGCAGTACGCACCCACTTGGGTCAGAACCCAGGACCTTCAGGTTACAAGGCAAGCTCGTATTCCCTTCAGCCACTGGGACCCGATTCAGTAGCCAGAGCATGAGTTCTAACTTCTACCAATTCGTGATTTAGTACGACCACCAACCAATGTCATCAGTCAGACATCCATTCTCACGTTTGACTGGATGGAGCTCACTAGACGCGACTTCTCACTGGAACTCCAGGAAATTCCGGCCTGTAGCAAGTCATTAACGAGCATCAGATTTATTCTCAAGAGTTGGTTTATAAGGATTAGATTCGCTTTAACGAGTTTGGGTTCGAACCCAATGGGTGCGTACTGCGGATAATTCCCAAACTAGGATGAAACGGCTGTCCAGTACTCCCTGGTTTTCAATGGTTCTCTAACAGATATCAGTGCTTGGTCAAACTGGTAAAAACAGATCTTATCCTTAGAAACCAACTCTTGGAAATACGTACTGCTCCGTTAAGAAAATGCTTTGTTACTCAAAGACACATTATAATGACTTCTAGTGATGCTTTTTGCAGTTCAAAGGATTAAACATCGATATGATGAGGTAGGCCAGTTCGTTTTGGTAGTTACTTTCACTTCCTTTGCCATTTGTCTCTGCTGATGATCTAGAAGCTCCTCCATATGCATATTTCTAAGGAAAATCTGCAGAAATACTCAGAAATTATTTACTTGACTTGATGTTTACAGACAGAGGCTATGTCCATTTTCTCTGGTTGAACATTATTGACCGATGTGACTAAACACAATTAAACGCATAACTTAGTATTTCCCAACATTCAAATTTTGTATTTATAGTGATAACAATGTCTACATATTTTGACTGATTATTTTCTTATTAAATGTTAATTCATTGATGAATATATCCCTCGTTACTTGTTTGTATATTCTACTTGATAAGACTGAATATGGGCCTTTGTGTAAGATGTGAGGTACAGACTGTATTAGGCCATCTTTGAGGTGCTAATTAAAAGTAGATATTAGGAGGAGATGATTGATGAAGACACTAAAAACACTATATTGTAGTCAAATAAAGTAAATATGCCCACGTCTCAAAGCGTTTCGAGTTATATTTCGTCATAGCAAAACACGTCAACTGGTTAGTGATTCATAGTGACAAAGTGAAAATAAATCTACGTGAGATAGTGTGCTTGTAATTTCTACGTATGTAAAGTACCTTGAGGATAAGACTGTACCTATGCTGTTAGACGTTTGACTCAGTGAAACTATGGTTATTATGACAATAACTAAAAACAGAATGCCCATATTTTTCGGCCAAAGAACACGGTTTCTGAGACGCCGCATTTACGGCTAATAGTTAACCCTTAATTCCTACCCTAGCACGTGTTAGAAATGTTACTGAAACACACTCCCGTTGCAGCATAAGGGACACAGATTCACTGAAAGGTGTTTATTAAACAAAAATTAGATTTCAGATGTACGGATAATTCTTTTTTTTGATTTACAGCTTGATTCCACACCGTATTTTCAGTACAAGTGTGGAATTTTTTCAGCATGGATATCGGTAGCCCAAATTCAGGCTGACCATAGATATCGGGTGTGCGCCGGCAGGGGATCGAACCCCGGACCATGTGCATGGTCGGCGAGAGTCCTAACCACTGTGCCACCGACGCAGTAGTAGTCCTCTGTCACTGTCAGTATGTTCCATCTGCGCACATAGCACATATGTTTCTCCATAAATCTTAAAAGGTTAAAGAGAAGCGTTATTAACTTGGGTATAACACGCATGATCTGAATAAAAAATTTTTCCAGATGCCTGCCAGAGAAACATTTGCTAGTAACCACTTTACAAACAACATATAGAAGTCGCTAAATAGTTTTCACTTAACTTGAGGGACTTTGCAGTGTATCATTGGTCAGTATCTAGTAGGTCTATCGGAGCAACATGAAACATTGAAATTATTTAATAATTATTTATGTAGCAATTTCCGAAGCTTGAACAAGGATTTTAATACAAATGGCAACGGCTTTATGTCAAATAATAAGAGTATTGACGGCATTAATATTGATAACAGCGTTCACATTCATAGTGACTATAAAACAATTATAGGCATTATTATCGCAACGAATTCATTATTTACTTGGATAGATGGCTACTGATACTAAAATCGTATCAATGAAATGTATCACCTAAACTTATGAAGGAGGTGTATACTTACTTTCACTGCTCTAATCTTGCAATAATGATGGGGTCAACTAGTTTATTCCATTTGAACTCAAGATTAACTCAGAAAGTGGATGGAGAGCCAGTGTATTTTAACTAAAATATGAAGCCTACATGTATCATACTGCTTCCTGTGATGTTCGATGCTTGCTGTCCGATCTTCGTGACAAGAAAAGACCCTACGTAGGTACTTACATGTTGCATCAACCATGTCGTTTTCATCGTGATTAATCAGACTGCTATTCTCTGAAAATAATAGTCAAGCGATAATTGAAGTTGCATAAGTTCATCACCTCTTCAGAACGTTGGATGCATTCTTGACAATTCTTGGACTTTGCTATAGGATGAATTCATTGGATTCAGCATATAAACCCACTGGTATATCATTTCTTTCCTGTGCTGTAATAGCATGTATAGTCAGTTAATCAACGGAACGAATAAAACCCACTTGGGAAATGCGAACTTCATCAAGCATCTAAATAAGTTATGTTTGTAATTACTGCAAATGAAATGAAAAATGAACACTCATGCGAATAAATCACTTTGTTATGTCATTCGAAAGTACGGTCATCGACAGGCTTCCTAACAGACCTGGAACCATTTGGAAACAACAAAAATTAATAATAGGAACTTCTAAGGTTTATAGCAGTTAGTCAAAAATTGCTGGATATTGGAAGCATTGATCCAGCGCGGCATATTACCTGCGCCCGATTTAATATTAAGGTCAGGAGGATGGAAGAAACTGAGCATGTTGCTCGTCGACTTGATAGAATGCTGAAAAATAAAAAGATAGTAATTCGCATTTCAAAGTTATTAATTTACTTCCTCAGGACGATGAATCTGCGTTAAAGTATCTTCGACGACTTCGCAGCATTGAAATGACACTGGATATTTTAACTAAAACTGGTGTTGGTATTATCATCAATAAAGTTAGGAAAGCTTCTGACGACCCAGAAGTTGCTACACTTGGAAAAAATATTATTAAACAATGGAAAAAGTTGGTTCCAGGTAGGTGGTGTTCACCAAAATATGTGTAAGTGTCCTCCTAGCTAGTAGTTTCGCTAGGTCCATTGTAGGCATTTCGGGGCATAATTTCAGGGCGCATTGGACAAAGTGGGACATTTTTTTGCAGTGAACCTTAAGTTTGCCTCAGATTGTCTTCAGTAGGCGACCCGAAGTGTCTTCAGGGCATTGCAATTTTGCCCTGAAGTTTCCCAGGGTTTCTGCCCTGCGCCGAAAGTCAATGCTATCTGGACTCCTGTGTGCTTAATCATACAGATGGTAAAAAACCTGAATGCGTATTTCCCTTTCATAAAGAATTAATTTGCGTAGGTAGGAGTCTGCCCAAATGAATTTTGGGGTTCCTAGGAAATTTTAGTTTGTTATCTTTGAGAAAAGTGATTGACTTCTCAAAAATTCTTGCGTGGATTTGCCCGACAGAGCTCCGGGACTACCCGAAGAATTTTTATTTGGGACTCTAAAACTAGCACAGATGCATCAATTTGTAAACGTCATTTAAAAGTTAAGGGGTTAATGAACTGCTTAGTTTTCAGTCACTTGGGCTTTATGTGCCTAGGTTGCATATGTAGATTAACTCTCATTTAGATTCAATCGTCTATTGGGTCACTAGTTACTACACTGTACTATCGGTTAAATATATTCCTCGACACAAGTAATTCAGATTTCAGATTTATTGGTTGAGGATAGAAGACTTGGAGCCTATGTTAATCCTTTTCTAGTAAATTTCTGTGGTTGTCCAAACCCTTCTTGAACGAATCAACTGAGGTTGCAGACACCACTTCTTCTGGGAGTCGGTTCTAAGAGTTTATGACTCCGTGTGAGAACCAAAACTCAACAGCAATATGATTTCTTCTTTGCTTTTGAACTCTCCTGGTATGTCCTCTAAGGTGTTCCGACCTGGTGGGGAGGAAAAGAGAAAATAGGTCAGGTCCGTAGTCATTATTTAAAATTTTAAACATTGTGATTAAATCTCTCTGCCTACGGTATGACAAGGAGAAGAGATTTAAACTGTCTAGTCTTTCCTCGTATGATAAGTTAGTCATGCCATGAATCATACGTGTTGCTTTCCTTTGAACCTTTTCTAGAATAAGTGAGTCCCCTTTTAGACAAGGGCTGGCGGCCTGGATGCAGTTTTCCAGTCTTGACCTCACCAGAGATGTATATAAGGAGGTGAACATATCTCTGGTGATTCTAGTGAAGGCTCTACGAATTGCCCATAATGACCTGAAACTACGTGCAGCCACCGCGCGACAGTGCTGTAGTTTTTAAGTCGTGGCTAACTATGACACCTAAGTCCAAGTGAGTCTGAACTGATGAAAGTGTAATTCCCTCTAGTTCATAAGAGCTCGTGCTTGCTTGTCCAATGCGCATGGTTGCACATTTTGCCACATTTATCGGGAGCATCCATTCTATGGACCACTCTGACAATTTGTTGAGGTCCTCTTGCAACGTGGACGTGTCACTGTTGCCCTCCAGCTCTCTCCAAATTTTTAAGTCATCTGCGTATAGGACCATAGGGGAGTCGGTGAGCAGAGATAACTCATTGATATACAAAATAAATAGGAGAGGTCCAAGTACCGTGCCTTGTGGCACTCCGCTGCATACTGCTGTCCAAGAGGAGAGTTTCGAGTTGATCCTAACCCTCTGCCTTTTATCTATGAGGAATTCCCTGAACCAGTTTAGTAAGCTGCCTTTGATACCAAGACTTTCCAACTTCATGAGTAGTCTTTTATGAGGTACTTTATCAAAGGCTTTGCTGAAGTCTATGAAGACGACGTCAACGGGTCTTCTGTTGTCCCTGGATTTGACCCAGCTTTCTCTTGCAGTGAGAAGATTTGACAGGCATGAGAGGTTCCTTCGGAAGCCATGCTGTGCTCTTGATAATAAGCTTCTATTTTCTAGATATGCCATTATGCTTTTCTTGATGATTCTCTCCAGTGTCTTAATTAAAGTGCTGGTGAGACTGAAAGGCCTGTAATTTGAAGGCCTTTGTCTTGATCCTCCTATGTAGATGGGGGTTACTATGGCATCTTTCCAGTCACGCGGTAACACTCCATTTTGGAGAGAAAGCTTGAAGATCGTAGTCAAAGGGCCGGCTATGTGGGCTGATAACTCCTTGAGAAGCCTTGGGTGAAGATTATCAGGACCCATTGATTTCCCTGCATCTAGTTTCCTTAGGCAGTTGAGCACGATGCCTTGGTCGATGTCAACGGAATCTATCCCATGTTCTTCTGATGCAGCCAGAGCTGATCCTATAGGCAGTGACGACTCCTGAGTGAAGACTTGGGAGAAGTAGTTTGCCATTGCTTCTGCCTTTTCTTGATCTTCTTCGATTGTATCATTGTCAATAGTCAGGTTTGGGACACCACTGGATGTTTTATTCCTGAAGTTCATGTACGAGAAAATTTTCTTAGGTTGTGCCTTTGCATTTTGAGCCAGGTGTGCTTCGAATTTCAACCTTGATTGGCGGATTTCTGCAATAATTGCCTGGTCTCAGAAGTCTCAAGTGTGGCAAACAAGTTCCAACATTTGTGTTTACGTCTAAGTAGCTTACGAATCTCTCGGTTTAAACAAGGAGGGCAGTGTTTCCGACCCTTTGGGACAGACCAAAGGATGAAAGGTTCAGTTACTTGGGCGTAAAGTTGTTTAAATTGGTTCCATGCGGCTTCTACTTGAGACCCTGGGTTGATGTACCAGTTTACTGAGTTGGCTGCTGAGACGATTGCATTCATATCAGCTTTCCAAACGTTTGGTCGAGATGGGGTTTTTGCCCTTGCTGCCGTTGCTGTGAACTTGAAAGTGAGCACAGCATGGTCACTTCTTCCTAAAGGAGGAAGATGTTGTATGAGATCTACATCCTCATCATGGGAGAACACTAGGTCGAGAGTTGAGGAGGAGTGCTGTGAGTCATAGAGCGTGGGCTTAATGATATGTTGGACTAGGGCTAACGATATACTAGATTCCAGAAGTTTATAATCAAAGGAGTTGACTGAGGATGGAGTTGTTAGGCTCGTCCAGTCAACTGTTGGGGCATTGAAGTCGCCGACTACGAGACTTCGACATTTTGAAGTCCAGGAGCCTAGCTTCTCTATCAGGAAGTCATCTGCACTGCAGTCAGGACTGCGGTACATAGCAATGAGGTCAATGTCTTGGCCTATGCATTTAAGTCTGCAGCGTAGAAGTTCGCACGACTCACTTTCGTGAACGAGTGCTTCGATACTACGCACGGTTAAGCATTTCTTGAGGTAGATGACTACGCCACCTCCTTTGCGGTTTAGTCGGTCCACCCTATGCACTTCGAAGTTTGGCAGGTTAACTTCGCTGTCAGTGACATCGGGTGTGAGCCATGTCTCTGTGATAATAATTACATCCGGGTTTCCGTAGTCTATCATGTTAACCAGCTCAGTCCGTTTATTTAACAGGCTGCGGGCGTTTGTGTAGCAAACTGTTAATTCAGTTTGGTGCTTCCCCGGCCTACCCACAGAGGTTTCGGGATCATTAAACTGCGAACTTGAACAACCCGAAAACCCTTAATCTTAAGGTTCTTTTCGCCGTTTCGGCGTCGTTCGCTTAATTCTAGGGCCGCAGACTGTCTTTTGACACGGTCTGCCAGGCTTAAGTCGGCGCGGACATTTATGCCTGATCCTTTAAGTATATGAGAGTTGCTTAGAATACCATCCCTCTCTTCTTTAGAGTTTAGTACGACTTTGAGGAGACGTACAGGCTGACTTACTGTAGGGTCAGGCTTTTGGCCTATTCTATATACGCTATGTATAGTAATGCCTGATACTGTTTGTGGCAGTAGCTTGTCTAAAAGGGGCTTAACCAAGTTAAGGTCATGCTCAAATCTAGTCTTGGGTTCGGGGGCCAGTGACTCTTCCACTTTGTGGAGAATGAGCGACCTGTCAGAGAGATCAGGTTTGCTTGCCGTGGCTTTCTTGCTCTGCGGCGTGAATGTCTTTCTGTCCTTCGTGGGCATTGTAGCCAATGTATTGTCCTTATCTCGCTTTTTGCGAGAGACTACGTTACGGCATTCATTGGCGTTCTCTTCACTAGTCGTAGCAGGATTTATCTGCCTGCTACTCACCGGTGTGGATGAGGCTTGATCCACCAGTACCTGGGTGAATTGCGTTGCAGGTTTACGACCCCTGGTACGCCTCTTCTTTGTGGCAGTCTTTCCGTTACTGTCACTAGAGGGCTTCAGTGCGTGATTTCATCATGACGTGATACCGGTCAGAGAACCATTGGAAAACTAGTACTGGACAGCTGTTTTGTCCCAGCTTGTGACTTTTCCTCAGTGCGCTCCCACCATCATGGTTCGAATCCAGGATCTTCCGGTTACGAGGAGAGCTCGTAGACCATATAGTCACCGGGATCCAACTGGTGCAGTGGGCAGCCTGTGAATTCCAACTTCTGCCAACTCACGATTTAGACGTCGACCACTAGCCAGTGTCATCGGTGGCGAGTACTTCTTACACCCGGCCTGCTGTACCCTACTGGATACGACTTCCCTGTACATTCCGGTACTCCCAGGTTTTACATTGATTCTTTAACGGATGTCAGCTCATGATGAAGTCCTGTAACCAACGCTTGAATGATCCAATGCAGGTTAAAAAGACGCTAAGATTGATAGCAATGTATGTAACTTATGATTTAATTTCTCCATAGATGCATTGCTGGCTGTAACTTTGCTGAATTCTATACCTCTAAATTTTAATTGTGTCCAAGTAAATGCAATTAGTGGATCTATGGTATGAAGACGTGGACAAACTACATTCTTCTAGATTGACTTTCAACATGGAATTTTATGCAGCAGTGTAACACGAATCAAGGGAAGCGAGTAAAATAACAGATAATTAACACAAGTATGAGGGAAAAGGATTAGTAATGTTGAAGAACAATAGACTTTTAATCGATATGGTGACAAATCACAAAGAGTGAATGCATCTGCGCCATCATTGAGGACGAATTTAAGCCAGCCATATTACCAAGTGTCTCAAGCCTCCATTGCTTCTTACCATCATCCCGAGTACTCCAACCAGCCACACTGGCAGTCTACACCTCCCTACGTTACTGGCTGGTTGGCATGTTTCAGCTGACTGTTCTCATAGATTTCACTGACTGATGAAGCAATATTTCTGTTTGACCACCACGTGCTAGCTCTCTTCCACTAACTGTGGTAACCAGTTGGCTCAAAAGCGCCAGACAATTAGCACATTGATTTGCCAAAAGGTACATTCATTCAAAACTATACAGAATTATTAACGTAAGATGATAGACAAACATGAATCAAACGGAAAAGGAGATCTTACGACCATTGTTATTTATAGGAAAACAACAGTTCAGCCAGTGAAAACGACTGTGAACAGTAACGAAGATTTGTCTATTAGTGATTCTTAACATAATAATAGCCACACACACAATCAGGTAACCTACACCTGATTACGCGTCACGGACAAGCATGTAACGCATGCCAAACACGTAAATTTTCGCTTCCAAATCTTAGAAAAACGTACCCCATCTCTGACTTAGTAGGTGTGATATCCGGCTAGTTGTGATTGAGACATGGCCATTGATGACAGTGGAAGACATGAAAAGGCCAGCTAGCTGTCTTCCAACATAGATGTCTGCTTTCTATCTACGTTTCGTGTTATGTTAGATGGTAGGTGTAACGGGGTGAGCAATATTGAGTTAGTGAGGCATCGGTTGAGTGCTGGCTAGATGAGAAGGGAAAATCAATCTATTGGCGAGGTTGCGAAACACTAACATTGGTTGAGTGAGATGGTTAGGACATGTGTTACTCATACCTGCCTATCCCTCGATTGCCTTTCCCGATTGCAGGTCAATGTTAGCTTAGCTGACATAAGAGAGATGGATGAGGTTGGAAAAGAGTTAGCTAGCTAGCTATCGCGTGGTGGTGGTAGTCAAACGAAAACATGACTGGCTTCATCAGTCAGCGGAATTCATAACAACAAGTAGTTAGTTTAAGCCAGCTTGCCAGCCACGTAGGTAGGTAGGTGTTGACTGGTTGGCTGGGGTCCTTGGAATGATGATAAGAAGCGATGAAGGCTGGAGACAAGTGGTGTTGATGTGGCTCAAAATTATCGTTATCAATGATGACAAAGATGCATTCACTCTTTGTGGTTTGTCATCATATCCAATAAAAGTCTATTGTTCTTCCACCACCATATTACTATTCTGCCTCCCTCCCTCCCCCCTCCCTCCCTCCCACTTGTGTTTATTTTCTGTCTTTTGAATGAATGTCTGTTTACTCTGTTCTGTTGCTTTGTGTTACATGGAGGGAGAGTGGCGAGTTAAACTGCTGCACATCTGTGCAAAGTTCTATGTTGAAACCAGTCAGACAATACATTCCCTGTTTATCTAACCGTAGTTTGCTTTTCAGTTTGTGTCTAGGGTTATTTTCTCTAGAAGTGAAAAATATGTCACTTGCATTTTAACGTATTAGTTCTGTTTCTTTTGACACTTGAAAATCTCTGGCGTATGTTTGTTTATCTATACCCAGTAATTTTTTTTTGTTCTTATTTATTTAGATAAAGGCGATGCATCTATCCCATGCACGAATACTACAAGCAATAACAATAATCATAATAATGGTGATAACAATAATGACAAGTCTTCTGAATTAAAAGCCTGCATCCCTTCTGACGATTCAGCTCCGCATGATGCTAAACGGTCACGGATAAGTGGTGAGCATAACAAAAAAGACTCAACTGTTGAACAACCATCAGTCGTCAATGCAAGTCGTGGCTTCTTCCCCGTTCACTCGTTAACTACAAATGATCAAATACGTCTTAAAGCTAGAGGGATGATTCAATCAGCCCTGGAGAGTGGAAGTAAGAGCATCACAAGCAAAATGCTTAGATTTATGAATTAATTTCACTCATTTTTTTCTCCTAGATATTCCTAGTGGTGCTTACGAATGTGAATATTTGGCGATTCGTATAGAAAGTTCTATCTATGATCTGTTTAATAATACTGATACCAAATACAAACAACGTGTGCGCACCAGAGTGATGAATCTCCGAGATTCCAATAATCCAAACTTACGACTCAATGTTTTAATGGGACATGTAAGCCCGGAAAAACTAGCGTCTATGACGTCAGAAGTAAGTTGTAGCCGCTTTTTAGTTTTTTATGATCCTAAGACGATTGTGTTGTTGTTGATTGGATTAAATAGTAATAGTTGTAGCACTTAAAACTAAGTCGATCTAGTTTAATGTGTATGTAGTCCTTTTTTGGTGCAGACTGACTTCTACCAGTCTGACTAACCCTAAATAGGAGAGTGAAATGCGCATCCTGGATTCCATCCACTGCTAGTCACTCAATATCCACCAATATACTTCTAGTCAAATAATTAGACAACGATCGTTCAGAGCACCTGCGCAAGGAACCACCAACATGTCGTTGACCTGAGGCCGAACACTTCGGTCCAATCATCAGTCAGTGGGAAAGTCCAAATTATACATGAAATAAAAAGTATGTTTGTGTGCACAGATTCACCAAGTGTGTTATCCTATTGACTGACAATTATTGTTTTCGGATCTTTAAATATTCTCATTGTTGATATTAGAACAAGACGACACATAAGCGAACAATATTGTTGTTTCCAGTTAGATCTCCTTCAAACCTAACACTCTAACTTGTATATCTTTATTTATAAATAAAAAAAATTAACCAATATTGATGAGTGGCAACTCAATTAGGACGTGTCTAATAGTGACCTCCTACATCTAAGATTACTTAGAGAGAGCTATAAAAGGGACTTAAACTGCTGCCACCCTTTGTTTGTCATTTTCCAGCTGCCGACCAATCATATGATTGCTCAAGAGAAAGACAAACTGTGTCTAGTTGTGTGCCACTTCGATGTGCATTTAAAAATTTAGCTGATCCTGAGGAGGAAGCTGAATAGGACAGACAATTGGACAACAAAGCAAATGCATCATTACTGTGCACCTTCCTTCCTTAATGGTTTGTAAAAGGCCAAGTGAAATCTATGGGAGGTTCAATTTTGTCTCATTTGATTGACGATGGTGGTCACCAAGTGGACGGAAGAAGTGCCTTCAAGTGCTGTGATCAAATAGGGGTTAAATTGTGAACTTTAATAAAATGCTAGAGAAATGATAAACTTAGTGCAAATTACAAATGTTGACACATAACAAGGATAATAATGGAGTAAAGTAAACTAGGTGAAAATGGATATGAAAAGCATAATCTGACATGGAAATATGACTGATTATGTACCTGATTACTTTATGGTAGGCCGGAGTAAACAAAGAGGATGTTCTTTTTCCTCACAAATAAATCAGGTTTCTTATCAATCTCTTTAGCTTCAGGTATGGTTAGAAGACGTAATTGTGTGTAGAACTTTATTGGATACTTTGATTGAACTGTAACTAGTTAGTAACTAGTGTAGGGTGTCTAGTCCTTTGCTTAGTGTAGACTGAATTCTGCTGTCAGTCAAGTTTGCAATGTGGCCACCTGTAGGCTAGGTAGTGGCTTGCCATCATGATGCTTTGCACTGTGAATCGTTGATATATATATACATATATATCATTGGGTGACATAAGTTCGAATATCAGAGGACACAAGTTTCTTTCAAGGTTGAAGATACGCCTTGGTAACAACTGGTGGCTGTCAGGTAGCACGAAACGCAGGTGGTCGAGCAAGGCTTCCTGTCCTGTCGGTTGCTTCCAACCATCTAGGTCACACTTCTATGCAGAATCATTTTAGAATAAGAAATATTGTAGAACTACTTTTATTATTATTATTATAATCACCATAATATGGCTAGTTTATAATATTTCTTAAGCAAACTGTGACGCCAATATTAAGTTACAGTGTGTGATTATATATGGATTTCAGTACAAATCTATATCTTGTTTCATCTCTTCTAAAATCTTGTGTTGCATTCAGAAGTGCCCTGTTGTTAAAATGTCTGACTGTAGAATGTTTTCCAAAAAGTAACAGCATTCAGCTTCGTTAAAGCCATTTTATCCCACTGTGAAGCAGAGTTTTATGAATTGTTTACAACCAGTGGTTTCTCATGCAGTCACTTCACTTCATCAATTTAAATAAAGAAACAACGAACATATTTGCAGGATAATAAGAACTTGTCCTATTTCGTGGAATCTCTTCAGCTGAGTGTATATCCTGAATACATCAATTGCAAAATTTATTTTAATATACTTCTTACAATGACCTTGAGTAACAGATAGAAAGTATAGGCAACATACTCTTTTAAGATGATGTAAGTAGACGAATTATTCAATGTTAAAATGAGTAACCATTTATACAGTGATTAGATAAGGCAGTGGAGTTCAGATTTTGCTTGGAAACAAGGATGGGCTGCTAAAGACAAGATACAAGGTAGATCAACAGAGTGAATTTATACATGTTATGATGGAGAGTGCATGAGGGTGGAAGTGATTAGTAAACTGAAGTGAAATTATGGAACAGACAAAGTAATTTAGTAGATTTAGAAACTTGATAGTGAGTTCAACTGAGTAAGTGAAAGTCGAAATCGAAATGAAGTGTGGAATGCTATGCAACAGAATAAAAGACAAAGGCACACGAACAAAACAAGTATGGTTACCAGGGTAGTGAGAGATTAGTTACACTATCTTTCTGTATGCATAGGTTGGGTCGAAGTCTTTTTATGGGAATGGCTTCTACGAACCGAAGTAACCATGCTTTTCTTTGTGTGTTGATTATTTTGAGAGCCTGACTAATTTCCACTTAATTAGGTGTTGTCTGGCGATTGCACCTAAGAACACTTTTCTGGCTTTCATAGGGGGATACTTTTAGGGATATGCTCGGAAAGTGTAGTAGACGTTCTTGTGCTTTCAGTCCTTCGTATGTCGTTCCTGCCGAAAGTGCAAGTGAATTGGCAAATGCAGTTGGGGTTGACATTAGCAGTCTACTTTTGATTGTGTTAGCGAGCATACTGTTGTCTTGTAAAGTGGAGTGAGTCTGGCGGCGTGAGATGTTCTTTTCAATGCACCTTTAATTCTGCTTCCCGTTCTTGTGGATACTTCTTCCTCTTTATATGCTAGACACATAAAACTGGTTTCTTTTCAGCTATTTCGAGCTCGTATTATCCTGTAAATATGTTCGTTCGTTCGTTCTTTCTTTATTACCACTGGTGGATTTCAGGTTTTACTTATAAAGGCATCCATCGATGATGAGTGGAACTTTGTTTGCATGACTCTCAGATATCTCAGAAATTCACGTATCTCATCTGTAGTAGTTTGAAGAGGCCGAAAGAAAGAGTGTTCTGAATATGTTGTAAAGTAGTAGTACGTATTTGTTTGTATGCACTACACTCCCACCGCGTCGAAAATGTGAGTTCATGATTCTACAGATCTCTGGTTTCGTTGAAACATGTAGATTTATGGTGAAATGATGAAATTAGCGCTAGCTAGTTCTTATCGCATTAGGGGGGACGGCATAAGACGTCATTGCTGGTGGAAAATACGAGTAAGCACAGGCATGTAAGAGGATTAAATATTGGGTTTTTTAACCTTGCATCAACTTTTGTGCTGATGATGAGACATGCAGCTGTTGTCTGTCGAAGAGAGTGCATAATTATAGACATGTTTGTGGAAGGTGAAAGACGAATTTCTGGCGATGAGTGTTTTCTGTGCACTGTTTTTAATATTTATAGATGGGAGCGGTCAGTAGGTACTTTTGAGACTCATTATTTGCTGTTTTATTGTTCGTGCGAGGTCTGGGGTATTGCCTGTCTTGTCTTCCAGACGGAAGCATGTGGTTGTCTTGAGGGACCACCCGTGAGCGTCCTGAGGGGCAGTTTAATTGGCCTACAGCCACACTTAACCTGCCGAATATCCAACACCTCCCTGAATGGGATATAGACACAGGTCCGCCGTCCTTAACTGAGGTTAATAAAGCTGTCACTAATCTGAAGCAAGGCAAAGCAGCGGAACCTGATGAAATGACTTCAGAGTTATTTAAGTACGGTGGAGACAGTTTACTGTCTGCATTAACTGAGGTTCTAGGCAGCGTCTGGGAATCAGAGGAAGTCCCATCGGGTTGGTGTAAGTCACTGATCATTCAGATATAAAAGAAGGGAGACAAGTCTTCTTGTGATAATCACAGAGGGATTAGCTTGACTAATATAGTATCTAAAATCCTAGGCTCAATAATACTGCGTAGATTAAGTGGCGCTCGGGAGACACAAACACGAGAAAACCAGGCAGGTTTTAGGCCAGGAAGAGGGTGTATTGATCATATCTTCACCCTTCGACAGATTCTAGAACATAGGCATTCCTACCGGCGTCCTACCATCATTATATTTCTTGACCTAAAGGCGACATTCGATTCTGTCGACCGAGAGGTTCTCTGGCGATGCTTGGCTGTAAAGGGAATGCCGAGAAAATACATTGCACTGATTAAGGCACTCTACTCGTACTCATGCAGCCAGGTGAGGGCTTATGGCGAGTTGTCATCTGAAGTGGTGACGACTAGTGGCGTCCGTCAAGGATGCCCATTATCCCTATTCCTATTCAACTTCATCATAGACGTACTAATGACTTAACCTTAACACACTTCAGCGACTCAGGGATTGACTTGCTACCAGGGAATAATCTCGTTGACTTAGAATATGCGGACGATATAGTCCTTCTAGGCGAGGACGCTGACAAAATGCAGAGTCTTCCAAACACCTTGAGCAACAATCTTCGTATGTTTGGCATGTCAATGGCACTCGGGTATAACTCAACCCCTCCTCTTACAGTTCATAAACTCTTGTATCCTACCTATTCTTTATTGTTCACCCTTATTCTTTCCTGGTTTGCTTAAAAAGGACTTTGTCACAATTCGTAGAATGCTAAAGACTACCAGTAGGATGAGTGGTGTCCCAGTGGACTACATAGTTAACGTCGTTGTGGATAGGCATTTGACTTCGTGCAGTAAATTTGCTAAAGGGATTTTGTCTGACTTGGAGCATCCACTTCACCCTCAGCTTTCACCTTGCATCTCCTCAGGTAGAACAAGAAGTCACTTCAGAAAACTGTATACTCGCACATCTAAGTATAAAAATTCTATGATACCATACTTGGCACGTATTTCATGTGATGAAAATAGCGTCAGGCAAGAATTGACTAGCCATTTTTCATCTAGTAAATAAACAATCTCCTCCATCCATCTTTATATACCTTCAAGTTTTACTTTTATTATTTCTATTATATTTATGGTCCTGTTGATTCTTTGTTTTCACTTTCATAACTGCAAACACCAGCTTATCTCTATGACTGCTGTAATCTTTGTTTTTTCCCTCACCATATCATGTAAAGAGAACATCATATTCAATATTTTTAATCATGCAAGGATTTGTATACCGCATCGACAATACTGTGTGAAACAAGCCCACGGCAATTTCCACTTGTATTATTATCATTACCTTAGCTGCTATCATTAGTATTATTTCCATTTAAATGCTCCATGTTTTCTATTTTTCTTTATATTAACTCTATTGTAAATGTAGAAAAATTTTTCTGTGATTAATTTTATTTATAATTTGAGGAAATTAGATGCAATATTGTGATTATTGCAGAAAATTCCATTCTGTATCACAAGTACTGTTTTTGGAATAAAGTATATTATTATTGTTATTATTATTATTACTGTCTATATTATTCATTTCTCCTACTTTCTTCTCTTGCTATGTGTGCTACATAGAGTGTGGCGACTTGAACTGCCGCACATATGTGCAAAGTTCTATGTGGAAAACCGACCGACCGACCTTTGGCGTGTGGTGTGGTCTCATCCGCAAGGCAGCAGCGTCAGGTGACCAATACAGGTGTTCGTATGTCATTCGATCCGATGTGTTTGGATTCTGGAGCCCATGTACCCACACCATGGTAGTAACTGCTTTTAGACTAACCGCTGTCCAATAAACAACCTTCGTCTGGTAGGACGTGTAGGGATATAAGTGTCCACCTGTCGCCAACCAGCGTAGATTGCTGGGTTACTGTGGTATGCAAGCCCGACCACCACGGTTAGGTAGCGCAATTATCAGCCGGGTTGAAGACTGAATTTAGTATGTGTGTGTGTGTTATGGAGGGAAGGAAGGTAGGTGTGTAAGTGAGTGAGGAGTATTGTGGTGTTGATGATGGTTCTGCATATACTTATTTTGTTAGGATGTGTGGTGTTCACGTTGAGCCAAGGCTTTCCTAAGGGGAGGGGGAAGGAGGGTTACTGAAGTTGTCGTTGGGTTATGTACTATTACAGAGGGGTCAACGGGGTAGGTAGGCGGTGAGTGAGATGGAAGTACGTCGTGGATTGTTTGATTGTTGATAGATAACTGGCGGCGGTGGTCATCGTTAGAATATTATGAATAAGTGAGTAGTGGGCGATTTTTGAATAAGTGAGTAGGCATACATACTCCGGGTTGATTTAATGTCGTGATTCCCGAAAATGTGAAAAGTTATGTAGAAAGTCTAGTAAATCATTTGTATTATTATTGTTATTATAAGCGATGAATTGTGGTCGGAATGTCGTCCAATTACTAGTTGGTACTGTATGATTGTTTTGTGGAATAAAGTATCCTAGTATGTGTTAAAGTGCTGTTCAGTAGTTTAATAATTGCCATCGTAAAATTAAGAACACAATATTCAGCGAAGACACTGTTTTCATCGAATTTATGTTCAAGCCAATTTTTATATTCCTTTACGTTCCCAGTGGTACGGAGGGCTTCAAGACACAGCTTTTAAGTTTCGGTAGCAGTTGTTTTATTTTTACGGGGTTGGGTTGTTAGCCTCACGCCCAACCTTACCTGTATACGGGACTTACAACCGAGTGCGTAGACAGCGGATTGACTGTCGGTCCACATGCGAGGTTGGCGAGCGTTCTACCACTGAACCATCTACGCATCAAGCTGTACAATCATCTATGTAGGCTTTTATATTAAAAATTATATTCCTTGAGAAAATGGAAACAAAGGTAACTGAATACAGAAATTAGTAATGTAGTATGAAGTGTAGTGGAAATATTTGTGATTGAGACTGAGGAAAATTTCCCGCTGGTGAACGTTACATGTAATTTTGCAGCTAAGAACGTCTTGCCGATTGATCATATCTGAAGCCTGATCACCTTTGACTGCCAAATCCATGAATATGGTTTTCTCTCGGACTGAGTTAGTGAACTGTTTATCTCGTGACTTTGTCAATAAATCGGTTAGACTAGCGTGGCTTTTCGGAATCACACTTTTGAGTCAATGTAGCCAGAACTACAGATGCTTCTTATCCTAAGTCAGAGCGAATGAATTAATTTACTTTTTCTGATGATTGGCACTCAACTATAAAATTATTTAGTTGTCTCAGTAAGACACGTTAACACATCACCATGGAAAAGATGAAACGGTCTTTCAAAATAGGAGAGGGGATAATAAATCTACATTATGCTGTGATTGGTAATCCCTTAACGCGAACATGCTGAATGGTGATGTGAAGGGGTGGGGGTAGGAACTCTTCCATGAATCAATTCTGGGTTACTTTAGGCTACAGCAGTCCAAAACGAAATTACCTTGACAAATCTCTCCATCGAGTAACCAGTCAGATACCCGTGAAGTAAAAGTGCGTAATTTGAAAAGAAAACGTTTGTATAAAAATAATGCAATGTTAAAAAAGTAGTTTCAACGTAGAATAACTTTCTTGTATATATGTCCAAAGAATGTCTCCAGATTTCTCCTCATAGGAGTGCTCATAGTCAAGTTAAACGAAACTTTGCACATAAATTCACCGGTATAACTATATATCATTGTGTTTCTTGACCCATCCATTCACCGCTGTTATTCTCTTTTCTAGGTGACTAGAAACCTTCCATGGAATTTGTGATGAGTCCCATCGAAATAATTAACGAAGTCGTCCGTATGATTAACCACGTTGTGATGAATGTAGCTCAGGGATAACAGCTAGCTACACGTTTTCTCCCTTCCAATGAGCCTGTTGTCTAGAAAGTGGTAATTGAATACTAGATTTGGATGAAATTTTCTAAGTGATTCCAGAACAGCATGCGTAATTCCGCGACCGTATACTATGGACTCTTTTAATTGATGGTCGCTCAAGGTGTCATTAATCCGTTCGTTCACTAGGTGGTAGTTTCGTTTTGGTGGCTAAGTTTAGTTAACCAAATTTTTATTTGAGATCATGGTGTTATAGGCAGTTGAACACATTTATGAATGTTTTGTTTAATAAGCAAATCAATTCTCATCACGGTAATCTCCTTTTTATTGTGATTATGATACTCTCGGGACACAATCTTTTGACTACAATTTCAGCATTTATACAACCTGAAATATGTACTAGTAAAATGTACTAGTGCTTTTATTTCATTTTTATTTCCTGTTGATGCAATAGATTGCTAAGGTTATTCAATAATAATGATGTGTACTGTGAAGTATATTGGTAGATCGTGACTGATCTGCAGTGGATGGAATCTAGGATGCACAGTTCACCCTCCTGTTTGGGACTAGTCGCCAGCTAGCTGAATGTACCTGCAGTGAGTTAGTGAGTAGTGGTGTTCCTCCCACTGGGACCCAGTACCCACCAGTTGTTCCAAACTCCGCCAGAGTGTTATGTCCATTGGACCACTCGGACCCACGATGTAAGCCACTTCTTGCTCTTGTGCAACGGGTATTAGTAATAATTCAACCATTCGGACTCTCCCGTTGATTGATTGGATGACAGAAGTGCTCAACCTGAGTGGCCCGAGTTGTCTAATGGACATAACAATTTGGTAGAGTTTGAAACTATCAGTGGATAGGTAGAATTAGATATGTCTAGGACTGGGCGAAAACGAATTCCTGGTTTATGTACTCTGGGCAAACCAAAATAATCAGTTAGGGCGAGATGCCTAAAGGAAAAGATGTAATTGAAAACGACAATACTGTTCACTTATGTATGTCTTGTTCGAATTATTGTTGGTTTTTTGTACTGATGTATGCGTAAAATTTGATCTTCTTTCTGGTTTGTATAAGGAAATGGCAAGTAAAGAAATGAAAGAACTCCGTGAAAAATACACCAAGGAGACGATAGAAGATCATCAGATGGCTGTGACTGGTGGAACTGAAACTGATTTACTACGATGCGGAAAGTGTAAACAGACAAAGTGTACATATAATCAGGTTAGTTATTTCATTAATATTGGGCTTCAATTTAATTTATGCATCACTATTAGTCATTTATTAAATGTGGGAGTAGTGAGCAGAAGTTGTGGGGTACAGCATGTTGTGGTCGGATGTGAGGACAAATATTCGCCGCCGATGATACTGGCTGCTTCCAAGTGGAGCGCTATATCGCGCATGAATTGGCAAAAGTTGGAATTCATTAACTGACCATTGAGAAGTTGGATCCAAGTGGTTGATGAATGTTCTACGAGCTCGTTCGCCTTGTATAACAAGAAGGTGGTTCTGGGTTCTAACCCTAGTGGTGGAAGTATGCGTACTGCCGAAGCGAAGTCCCAAGCACTAGGTGGACGAAACAGCTGTCTAGCAGTATTCTCTTCTAACCGATGTCGTCAATTCATGTTGAAATCCTAACTGATTAGTTGTATTTCCCGAAGTTGTGTGTGAAATCAAGTTGCCTTTTACTCTTCTCAATGATATAATATATGTACTTGTTGTTTAAATGTTCATGCTTCTTATCCTGCCTTTCTCTTACAGGTCCAGACGCGTAGCGCTGATGAACCAATGACAACGTTTGTTTATTGTAACAATTGTGGACATCGATGGAAGGTAACTAATGACAATATTTATTTAGCATTTTTTGTGTGGGGTTGTACTGTAAGCTTGCTAAGGAATTGAAAAACTTTTGTATTTAATTCATATCATCTTTTCGTATAAAATATTATCATATTGTGGTAGCTAAATGGCAGGCTTTCTCAGCTCACCACTACAAAATGACTCATTAACGTAGGTGTAGAATTTAGGGGACTAACTGTGATAGAATTTGATCCCATGTTAGATAAGTTTACTTCCAAATTACACGCCGCGATGATGCAGTATTAACAACTGGAAGATGACAAGGTTTCGAGCTGCTCGTAATCATATCAGTTTAGTCAGACGACTTCATAATTTGTCTTCCTTTATAAACCGACGAAATTAATCTTTGAGAGGGTTGGTTGGTTGGATGGTTTAAACGCCAACCCAACTAATTTCAGTCTCAATGAGAATTCTACGTAAGGCCTCTGATGTGCTTTCTTCATACGGCAGTGCTACAGAGGCTTTCAACTCTATATTATTTTTGTCATTCCCATTTCCAATCATATTTGGTTCTAAGGTTCTAAGCAAATTCTGGTGGGTAGTTATTCATCAGTAATATTTTCCTGATTTGTTGCATTCCATTATTTAAATCTTCTGACTTACTAGTTAGGCAGGCCTCCACTCCGATTATATAGATATTTAACTGAACCAATCTCCCTTTACCGATTTTGGTTGGGATGAATATTCGAGTCTTTAAAGTATTTATTAGAGTGTGTCGGTCTTCTATAAGTGCCAGTATCCTAGTCCACCATCTTGTTTTTCTTTTATTCTATAGTTTAGCAAGGCCGATTTGCGTTGTTCGTCTTCTAACTCACAAGTGAATTACGAAGTCGTGTGACTAAATTGATATGATAATGAGCAGCAATAATTTCTGTTCGAAAGCTTGTCATCATCCAGCTGTTAATACTGCATCATCACTGTGTGTCATACTTCTTACAATGACCTTGAGTAACATATAGAAAGTATAGGCAACATACTCTATTAAGATGATGTAAGTAGACGAATTATTCAATGTTAAAATGAGTAACCATTTATACAGTGATTAGATAAGGCAGTGGAGTTCAGATTTTGCTTGGAAACAAGGATGGGCTGCTAAAGACAAGATACAAGGTAGATCAACAGAGTGAATTTATACATGTTATGATGGAGAGTGCATGAGGGTGGAAGTGATTAGTAAACTGAAGTGAAATTATGGAACAGACAAAGTAATTTAGTAGATTTAGAAACTTGATAGTGAGTTCAACTGAGTAAGTGAAAGTCGAAATCGAAATGAAGTGTGGAATGCTATGCAACAGAATAAAAGGCAAAGGCACACGAACAAAACAAGTATGGTTACCAGGGTAGTGAGAGATTAGTCACACTATCTTTCTGTATGCATAGGTTGGGTCGAAGTCTTTTTATGGGAATGGCTTTTCTTTGTGTGTTGATTATTTTGAGAGCCTGACTAATTTCCACTTAATTAGGTGTTGTCTGGCGATTGCACCTAAGAACACTTTTCTGGCTTTCATAGGGGGATACTTTTAGGGATATGCTCGGAAAGTGTAGTAGACGTTCTTGTGCTTTCAGTCCTTCGTATGTCGTTCCTGCCGAAAGTGCAAGTGAATTGGCAAATGCAGTTGGAGTTGACATTAGCAGTCTACTTTTGATTGTGTTAGCGAGCATACTGTTGTCTTGTAAAGTGGAGTGAGTCTGGTGGCGTGAGATGTTCTTTTCAATGCACCTTTAATTCTGCTTCCCGTTCTTGTGGATACTTCTTCCTCTTTATATGCTAGACACATGAAAACTGGTTTCTTTTCAGCTATTTCGAGCTCGTATTATCCTGTAAATATGTTCGTTCGTTCGTTCTTTCTTTATTACCACTGGTGGATTTCAGGTTTTACTTATAAAGGCATCCATCGATGATGAGTGGAACTTTGTTTGCATGACTCTCAGATATCTCAGAAATTCACGTATCTCATCTGTAGTAGTTTGAAGAGGCCGAAAGAAAGAGTGTTCTGAATATGTTGTAAAATAGTAGTACGTATTTGTTTGTATGCACTACACTCCCACCGCGTCGAAAATGTGAGTTCATGATTCTACAGATCTCTGGTTTCGTTGAAACATGTAGATTTATGGTGAAATGATGAAATTAGCGCCTGTCAAGTTGTTGCTCTTACTCAGGAAGAAGTACGTCTGCACCTGCGATGTCTTTTCGGCGATTTTATTTCTAGAAGCAACTTTACAATCGCCTGTATGTACATATGTGAACATAGAAACACGGGGTGAAACTTAGCTGTACAGTTATTCTTAGGAGGGCAATCATAAGTTCCTTAAAGAATATCCTCGCTGCGCAGCAACTGTGATAGTAGTGTTATTATTTTCTAGGCACTGAATTCTTCCAAGTTAGATGATGTACAAACTTCGTCTTTTGTCCACATCAGTGTGCATATGTCAGTTCAGCTGTTCGTACAAAGCTAGGTACATTTGTGGTTCTATACAGGCCCTGTCGAAACGTTTTGGAGAACACTATCCAGCTGGACTGCGAAGAGGAGGCATTGGTTCAATCAGGGACTCTCTAATTGAATACCTTGTCAACGCGTGTCACAGCATTTCAACTAACTAATCATACGCAGTTATTTACAAGGTAGGGTGCATTCCCGAATTCTGGCAATTCGTGATAGATGTTTAGCGCGATCACCAACCAGAGTGTCGTGGGTAGCGAGTGTTCTTACTCACTCCCGCTAGACCTGTTTGTTGACCCCGCACTGGTCATGACTTCACACCAGAACTCTACGAAACTTCCTGTATAGAGCCGTTTGTCACGAATATAGGCTTTTCGGTAGTTCTCTCTAACTGATATCAATCCGTGAGCAAACTTGAAAGATATGTATATATATATATATCCATTCTCTTGGCTGTACATTAATGCTGATATAATCAAAATAAGACTTCGAGATGACGTCAGATTATGTCGTCTATGTTGGATTTATTCACCAACTAATATGTGCTGGTCCTTTCTTTTACAACATGCATATTCACCTTGTTGGGGTACCTAACCTGTCATATGCTCTGATGGTGTTCTCGTGACTATTGTTGCCAGATCTGCCAAGGGCGATGGAATAGTACGTGACCTAATGGTTGTGTGCAAGGTTTGAAGAAGGCTGTGTGTTATTTCCATGCGCCTCGCCCTGATAATGTTTGTGCGTCGGTGGCATAGCGGGTAGGACGCTCGCCGACCATGTACATGGTCCTGAGTTCGATACCCGACCGACTCACTCCTTTACCTCGCTAAGCCAGAAATAAAGATGGTAAAGAGGCAAGGTTGGGCATAAGGCTAGCAACACCATCCTGTAAAAATAAACACTGCTACAGAAACTTCAAGCCAATGGCTTGAAGCCCTATGTTCCGCTGGGGAACGTGAAGGATAAAAAAGATATTCACTTTGTTATGTTTATTATATGCAAGCCTATCAAGTATGGAATTCTGCTACCACAAGGCTAAAATCCTATCACTGCTGCCTTATAATATTATTCTCTGCACAAACATTTGTTGTTTTTGCTTTGTTTTAATTCATGAAGGGGAAATATAAATGCCTTTTTTAATTCATACACTCTATATCATATTTGTATTATATGTCGTTCTCCTTATATTTTCATTGGTTTCAGTTTTGTTAACGATTCATTCAATTACTGCCACTCTTACTACTGTTCAATGCACAACCTTGTCCATCCATCCGTCCGTCTTACCCTCGGTCAACCATCTAATTTGGTTTTGCTGCTGTTCATCAAATTTCCAACTTTGAAATATACATATATATTATTGCCAGACCAGTGCGTTTTGTAGGCCTCTGTGTGTTTTGATGCTATTGCTGCACACAATCAATCCTCCATCCTCGAATAATAATAAGTGACCCCGGAAAAATGGTGGCTCAAAATCTGTAAAATGCCTACTTTCCCTTCCCTTCTCTCTCTCTCTCTCTCTCTCTCTATATATATATATATATATATATATATATATATATATATATATATATATAGTCACTTCTAACTTGTATATTGGATATGCTATTGGGTGTTCTTATTCCTTATTTTTATTATTATAAATCAAAATGAATCGTTCTCAGTTTATTGAATCCTCCAAATAATAGTGGCAATAATAATAATAATAATAATAATAATAATAATAGGGAAACAGAATCTTCCTTTTCTTGTAATTTTTTGGTAACTGTGAGATGATCTTATGTAGGGGTATGTAAATACCACCATCACCAAGTAAGCTTTCTTATTGTGTGTGTGTGTATGTGTGTGATGTATGTCCACCTTCTTCTTGTACCTGTTTCCTCTTCATGATGTTGCTGCTGCTGCTGCTGATGTTTCTCTCTTTTATTTCATTTTGTGATCTCATCTATCCTGTGTGTGTTTGTGTGTCTTTCTCTTACTTTATCAGAATTTCTTCTGTTTCGGTTTTGCCCTTCCATATAGCAGCTTTGATGAATTGTGTACACAGATGATGCAAAAATATTTCAACAAAAGAAGCATCAGTATCATCGTTATATTTTAGAGTTACTTTTAATATTTAACCTTCTTCTACTTCTTCAAGAGTCCATCCATTGAGTAGAGAAAGTGTATGTAATTCAGTGTTCTTATATATATAGTGTACTGTTATATAATTGTTATGTCTGTGATTCTTAAATCCCAGTATTATGTGTATACAGTCAATGTTAAGGCTGTTGTTAATATTGTTTTATTTATTGTCACAAAAATGTTAAATGCATCTTTTGTTTTTGCTACAACAATGTTGTTCTGTGAAAATTGGTAATAAGGACGATTTTTATGATCCAGCCATATCAACACTACTTGTCTCCAGCCTTCATCGCTTCTTATCATCATTCCAAGGACCCCAGCCAACCAGTCAACAACACCTACCGGCGTGGCTGGCAAGCTGGCTTAAACTAACTAGTTGTTGTTATGAATTCCGCTGACTGATGAAGCCAGTCATGTTTTCGTTTGACTACCACCACCACGCGATAGCTAGCTAGCTAACTCTTTTCCGACCTCATCCATCCCTCGTATGTCAGCTAAGCTAACATTGACCTGCAATCGGGAAAGGCAATCGAGGGATAGGCAGGTATGAGTAACACACATCCTAACCATCTCACTCAATCGATGTAATTGCTTCACACCCTCATCCTTTGATTTTCGCTCCTCATCTAGCTAGCACTCAACCGATGCCTCACTAACTCAACATTGCTCACCCCGTTACACCTACCATCTAACTTAACACGGAATGTATGTACATCTTCTGGTCGATAGTCTGATAGTACGTTTACTCTAGAGATAGCGTAAGTTGGAAATTTTCTGTACCTTTGCCAATGATCTTTGACTACCAAACCACTCAGATCGCTGCTTTTCAGCATTACAAATGAAATGCTCTTCACATAGTGGTTGTTACAGTTTTCATCCTGACCCTAGTCTTCGTTACAAAATTCACTCTCACTGTAATCTTCGTTTGAAGTTTCACTGTTTCGCTGTTACCTTTTCGTAGCTAAGCGGGATAATGGTTTTTGACATATCGAGCAACCAGCATATATCTGACTCCATATGAGGAATTGAATTGGTAGATACACATAGAACTGGTCAAGTGTGTTTTTTTATGTTTAGAGTTGTTGAAGAACAATGGGCCTCTTGAGAATACCAATTGTAATATAGCAGCAGAGGATATTTTCGTTCAAGGCTTTAGATACTCTTCTCTTTAAGGTGTCGGCCAGAAGTTCGCCTTTGAATGCTACATTCATGTATAGCATCGTCTTTGGCAAAGACATAGGGGTGTTCTTTGTTGGTTTTGGGTTTTATGTATTTTTCTAGAAAGTTTGAGGGATAGCCATTATTATGAGTGTTTGTTAGGCCCAGTAATACATATATACAGTTGAAATTAAGGTTGTTTATTGTCACATATTGAATCTGTTTTGCATTTGTTACAACAGTGTTGGTTGTTGAAAATCCTTAAATATAAAAAGAGGAATTTCCTACAACCGGTTCCTTCTAATTAGTTTGAATGAAGAAAGTATGGACACATAATTGCAGTTGCAGGATAATAGAAGCTTGTTTTATTACGTAGATTCTCTGTCCAACTGCTCGTACATCCTAAACAAACTATATAAGTTACAAATTCTCATATTGATTCATCTCAGAAAATACATCTAGTCAAAATTCGACAGTCTACTGGAAAGTTGCAATTCGGTGTATCGGATAGAGTTTGTTCATTACTTCATGCAAAACTTACAACTACAAACGATGAATTCGTATGGAAAGAAACTCAGGAGATCTTGAGTAAGGGTAGAGAGATCACATGGAGAATTTTGCACAGACCCCCAAAAATATACATAAAATTTGTCGGACGTAAAACTAAGCAAAGTGGGAACTGAAGTTCTCTTTCTAGGATTCAAATGTCTTATACCGAACTCCTTTACTTACTAGCAGAACTGATACAGA